CGAAAACTCAGTCAAATTGAGGTAAAAAGGTCATATTCGGAATCAGCACACTTTTTCCTATCCGAGTATGTGTTTTTCGTTCAAAAATAAAGACCCTTGGTAAGTTTGAATTACGCGCGCCTTACACTGATTGAAACAAGCCTCTAGAACTCGGTGCCCCCGACCGAGCCTTCAAAGCCATTTTAGTGAAACCCACAAATCGCAACATGGACTATGATAGTACACCTGGTGTACTCCAGCAGTATACTAGGGTGCGTCAGAATGACTCCGTTTCCATGAAGAAAACCATTCCTTAAGATCGTCCAAAATGGTTATTTTTGGACAAAATTGCAGCTTTCAAATCGTCTGTATTGAAAACGAAAGCACCAGAGACCGTCAAACTTTTACCAGATATGCTTTAGCATATAATCTATTTAGAAATATGGTTGAGAGTTTCACGGTCGACTTTATTTCAAATGGATGCTACATCAAGGTTTTCTGGATTTGGGCCCTTAGTGCGCCATCTATTACAAAATAACGAACACATGTTTTGAACTCACGCACGGTTTTGAACTACACACTATCTACTATTTATGGGAAAATCTCCAAGGTTAAGTAATCTGTTGTTACTGAATCACAAGAGTTTAAAGTTGGCAAATTTTCAAGATAGCGGAATCTACGTTTTTCGGGGCTTTTCGTAAAAATATCAATATCTCTGCACCGATACAACTTTTTGATTTGCACCTTTTACCAAAGTTCATTAAAATGTTTGGTCTACAAGAGCCCCCTAGTTTGGAAAAGTTTTGAGAACATCGATTAAGAACGTCGATCGTGGCTTACGTGCAATGGCTCTTAAACAAAGGTGCACCGGTTTCAAGTTGCTTTGTATAATCAGTTGTGGAACGGGATGTAAGGAGTTAATTGATAATACACATCAGATATTTCAAAAATTCGAATAACGTGAATCCAGAACTGATAGTGTCTTTAACTTAAACTATTTTGTTTTCATAATCCTTGATAGAAGAAATGTTTTTTTTAAATCAAACTTTCTCACTGACTCATCATCATCATCATCATCATCAAGCAGTTGAATGAGTGCAATTTGTTTTAATAGAAATAATGTTTCTTGTGAGTGTGGCTATATTAAAAGTTAGTTCAGTCAGTCGATGGATGCTACTATCACTTGCTACGATGTAGCGAACGAATCAACTACAAGCTTCTTGTGGAACCAACCATAATGGAATCAAGCGTATTTTGACAGGATTACATAATACTTTAAGATAGTTATTTTGTTACCCCTACAATACCCTCAATCACCCTACATATAATACCCGTCCAGGTCACTTTTCAACTTCATCGAAATTTTATCTGATAAATTGTGTAATATAGGAGTAAATATCAAGTTTGATTGTATTGCAAGGAAAGAAGTAAAATTTTAAACTATCACTTTCACCAAAAAAGTATTTGTTTGTGTATTAAAATAAACTACAAAAGCTTTTGACATCAGATAATTTTTACGATTTTTATTATAAATAACTTTCTGAGTCATTTAATTCATTCTAGTAATGCAAATAAAATCATTTATTACCATTTTAATATTGTTAATCGTGTTTGTTAACTTTGGAGTCACACAACGACGAAAATCTAAAATTCCTGCTGCAGGTAATCACGAATATAAAACTATTCAATATTATAAAAATCTCTTTTTATTCCTCTTAGTTATAAAGGAATGTTTACAAAAATCTGAAAAAATTGAAAATTGTGATTTTATTCAATGTTTTCATGATAGATATAAATGTAGTGGTGATGGAATAACAGAATGGGCTGTTGACTTATGTAAAGCCTTTCCAGTTAACGTTATTCAACAATTTACACAACAGGTAATACGAGATTTGAATTAATTTATAAACAAATAATAATATGTTCTTCTATAGGGACAAAAAATGATGATTAATATTCAAAACTGTACTCAACGTTTTCTCGCCCAAACATATCGTGTAAGAAACAAAATAAATTGTGAACAATTTGAAAGAAAATATTTTGATAATATGGCAGTGTGTTACAATCAATCTGAGTTTTGTCAAGTGTTCAAAGAAAACCGACAATTCTTTATGAAATATTCTGGTGCAACAATCATGCGACAACCAAAGTAAGTTATAACGATAGTCAAACACTAACGAGGGAACCTCTCGAGGTGATTAAAAGCTTTTCGATTCAGACTATTTTCATCATGTAGGGAATAGTCAGCAGTGAAAAACCCCAAGTTGGTTTGGGCCCATGCGCCTTTTTGACGGAGATATGAGTTAATTAATGAAAATGCCATTGACAATAATTAATTAAT